TAGGGCAAAACATGTTACATACTAGATAAAATTAAAGATCAGTGTTGAATACATGTATTTAATTATAAGTATTTAAACAATAATATATGAAACTTTGAAACTATGATTGATTTTGGTAACATTTTTACAGAGGTCATATTGAGGGAAATGAATGCGGTTATAACAGAAAAGTGTCGTTGTGTACTTATTTATAGAAACGAGATGAAAAAATCAACAGCAGATGTAATGACATGTACACTGTTTGCAATTGACTACGCATACATCATATTATAATGCTAATCTTAATTACGATGTGAATGTAAGCCTTGTTCTCTCTCATACCGTTGTAGTCTGTGTATATAACGAGAACAACGTGCCGTACGTGTTGTTCTGTTGAGCCAACAGACATCGCTACGACATTAATGTAAAGACTGTTTTACAACCACATTTTCAAATATACATGTTGCCATATACATGTTGTGTTTGTTTGTTTTGGGTTTTACGTCACATCGACACAGTATAGGTCTTATCGTGACGTTCCAGCTTTACTGGTGGCGGAAGACCTCAGGTGCCTTTCCGTGCATTATTTCAGGCACGAACGGGCACCTGTGTAGAACCACCGACGTTCCGTAAGTTAGCTGGATAGCTTCCTCACATGAAAGAATCCAAGTCCATGTTGGTATTCGAACCCACAACGGTGAGGGGCAAGTGATTTGAAGTCAACGACCTTAACCACTCGGCCACGAGAGCCCCCGATATACATGTAGAAACTCAGAACATTGTTATATACAGGAGAATATGATACATTAGAAAGAAAAATAAATATATTACATATGTAAACATGTAAGCGCTCAATGTTCACAATATATTACATAAAGAATTTACTTACTCACTAACTTTGCATGTTGCTTTGATAAGAACGAGTACATTCATAAGTTTTGCAACCGTGTTTTAACATGACTGTACAAACTAACAAAGATATATTTACCTTGTCCACAATTATTTCCATAAAACCCTTGTGTACATTGACAAGTGTAGCTATTGATCTCATCAGTGCACACGCCGCCGTTCAAACATGGACTATCAGCACAGTCATCGACGGGAGTAACTTAATAAAGATAACAATAACATTAATCTAACAGTGAAATAAGAATTTGATCTTAAGAAGAAATAAAAACCGGTCTTCGTAATAAAATTATCCATATTGTTCAGTTAAAATAACAAAACAACCTTTGAAATGCCAATTAGATAAGGCTGAAAGATATAAAGGAAAACGAATGACAATAACAATAGTGGGACTTAGATTTCCTTTAATCATACTAGTATTTTATTGTGTAGATTTACAAACATGTATCATTTTACATTACGATATATATAAAAACAAATGCCTTACTTTCTCCAAATACTTCCACTTCACATAGATGAAAAATTGATTCTTCGTTTCTTAAAGTTACCCTGATGTAACGAGCTTTCACTGTATCAAATGTGAACGATTTGAAAAGACCCATTTGACCTTCCTGATACGCTACCACAGTCCAATTACTCGGACCGTCCGTCGCTACGGAAATTTCAACATTCGCAGCTCTATCGGCTGAAAATACAAATTAATATTCTATCTTTGCAGCTAAAACTAACCATTAACTTACAACACCGACACCAACTTCAACATAAAGTGATGGATTAGTCAAGTGGTTGACCCTTCGAACCAGTTCTCTAAGGATTGCTGGTCGCATTTGTTTAAATTTCTTAAGGGGGAAGCCGTTGTATCCTTGAGCAAGAAACGGTACACTCATTTTTACTGTTGTTTTCAAGAACAGATTCGAGAGGGTGGCTTTCTACATAATAAAACTAAAATGTACCAATTGAAACTAAATAAGTTGCCTGCGTATTGTGCTATTTCTTTTTTTAATATTTTGAAAGTGTATTATCGTATTGTCGTAACCCTTGACAAAGCAGGACACATTCAATTCACGAATGCATTATATCTAATGCTATATATCTACGAGACATTTATCCGTTGAATAGCAAGTAAATATGAGTATTAGAATGCTGTATCCCAATTTATCAAATTAAGGAGTAGAATTCTAGAAGTCGTCTTCAAAACTATGCATAATCTAAACTATTATAGATTTATATAGAAAACGATTAAAGCTACATACTACAGCAGTCCCTCCTGTTGGTGATGTTCAATTGACTTATGTAATAAACATCTTGAAGATCAACTTGCCACCATGGGCTCATTTCAGTATCAGTTTGGAAACAATGATTGTTAAAAAAGTTGTCATCAGCGTTACCATCATTGCCTAAATCAGCAGTCCAGGTTAACCCCCTGATACTTGGCATGCTGGCTGGTTTTCCAAGGGCAACGTTGACAAGAGCTGAAGCAAAAATGAAACAACTGTCTATTAAGTACGACTAGTCATTAAGTTTACACTATATACTTTGTATTTACATGATTTTAAACATAAGTTTTAACAATTATTCCTTAAACTGTAGATTTGTTTTTCATTTAGGGTAAGATGTCTTAACAAAATATATTACCTTGATATGCATGAAATCATTTTAAAACATTTGAAATTATAAACTACAGTTGAGTTCACACTAAACTTCCCACCCTTGTGCACTTCTAGTGCACTAGAGCTGAACTAGAAGTGCACTAGAAGTGCACTTCTAGTGCACTAGACCATATGACCAGGCTGGCCAGGGAAGGTGACACCTAAATGGTTTATTGGATAATTGTATACCATTGTTACGCTGCTGTATGAAAAAAATAAATTGGGAAAATATATATATGGCCTATTCATGAATATAAATAAGTAAATTTTAAAATCAGCAGTTTTAACATTTTAGGTGATTATCATGTTGAAGCTTAAAATTAAAATGTTTTTTTCATTTATTGTAATCATATTTTTATTAACCAGTATTTAACTGTAAGTGAAAAATAATACCCCTTAAAATCAAATTTATAGAATTAATAAGGTTAAATTTAAATATGCTCCATAATGGATAATTAAATAAGTGTTTTTAAAGCTTTTTTAAATGGCCATATATTTCAATTTTTCTAGTGTACAAATGGTATAAATCAATGTGATAATTCTGGCCCGATTAATTTAGTTTGTTATATCATAAACTTTTTTCATAAGCTCAAACAAATCAAGGAAAGGTTATATTTAAGCTAAAATATTATTTCTATAATATATAACTTAGAGACAATTCATCATGTTCAATATTGAAAAAGAATATTAATACATTGATTTTAAAACAATCAATATACTGTGATAATTTAGTATTCAACTGTGTAATGCTTGCATATGTTTATGCAAATAATTTAAATATTATCCATAAAATAAATAAATTTGATATCTTTATTCATTATTTTAATATTAAAAATTTAATGTATAAAGGGAATACTTTTATTGAAGAGGAAAATCTCAAGTCATGCTGTGTATTGGTATTTTCTGAGAGGGACTGTTTTCAATATACCACTCTCCTGCTGATAAGAGGGCCTCAGGGTAAATAACAAAGAACAGTCAATTTTGCAGATTTATAAGAATGCATTGAAATTCCCTGGTTTTCTCAAAATGCATGTTAGACATAAGCCTGGGATTCATCAGGCGTTGGCACTCAGTAAATGACCATAATTTTTGTATAATCAAATATACAAAAAAAACATAAAGGCATAAATGCATAATAGATATTATCAGAGACATAGATAGATGTTATCTATGTCTCTGATATTATTGTCTCTAAAGCGGAATTTTCTATATGTATCCATTTATCCACATTTCTTGCCATTCTGCATAATAATATCACGGATTTATATTACTATATACTATTAATATAAATCCGTGATAATATATAACTTAAGAGGCAATTCCTCATGTTCAAGATTGAAAGAGAATATTAATTGATTAATTTTAAAACATTTTATACACTGTGATATTATGTTTTTCAACCATAAAATGCTTGCATACTTTTTAAAGATATACATAATTAAAATTTTTCCATAAAATAAATAAAATTGATAACTTTATTCAAGATTTCTACATTAAAAATGTAATGTATAAAGGAAATGTTTTTATACAAGAGGAAAGTCTCGAGTCATGCTGTGTATTGGTATTTTTTTGAGAGCGACTGTTTTCATTACACTGGTCTCCTGCTGATAAGGGGGCCTCAGGGTAAATAACAAAAATGCAAATGTATGCAATATTTATTGAAAATTTCCTTTTTTCCCCCAAAATACATGTAAGTCATCGATAAATGACTATACTTTTTGTATAATCAAATGTAAAAAATAATCTTAATGTCATAAACGCACGTTAGATATTATTGTCATTTATTGTCTTTGAAGTGGAATTTTCTAATCTTATTATAAAAAACTGGTTTAAAACCAATATCAGTGTTAACTATTCTACAAAGACTTTGTATCAATATTTTTTCACATTTCTTGCAATTCTGCATTAAAATTTGCAGCATCTTTTAGTTTTTGAACTGGGAAATGTTATTTTTTTCTATTATAGATTTGACAAATTTGCCTTGTCAGTTTTTACGCATTTAGAAGATAATATATTTTAAAGAAAATATTATTTAAATACATGATTATAAAACTTTTGCAACTTCCTTTTCACTTTAATGCAGATCTGTTTTTTTTTCTGTTTTTGTTTTTTTTTTTTTAATTTAATATCATACATGAGCAGAAAACAGTTACAGGAGATTAAAGTGTCAAAAGTCATGCTGTGTATAGGTGTTTTGATATAGTACCCTGCTGATAAGAGAGCCCCTCAGGGTAAATAACATAAGCCAGATTAGGCGATGTAAATTCTGTATTCTCTGGATGTTGGTGCAAATAAATTTCATTACAAATAGTACAAAAAGAAAAATGAATATTTTTGCAATTTATAATAAACTCATAAAATTAATCATATTGCATAATAATGTTACAATGCATGAAAAAAAAGGAAAAAAGATTGGTGTCGTCTCAAAAAATGGAATTGACAGATTTTCTAATCTTTTTGTTAATATCCATGTCAGTTTAAGTATACTAGTATCCCACAGGTACATATCAATACTTAATCCACACATATCAATACATACCACCATTATATATAAATATTTATTTTCAGAATAATATATATCATTTATATTAATCTTAGGTAAATCTCAGTTTGAGAAGGTAAGAGAGATCATAAATGAAATAAAATTGACAAAATTTAGGCCAATTATAAATATATTAATTCTTTAATGTATTAAAGGCTATTAATGCTTAAAATCATTACCTTTAACTAAAACAACCATAAGTTAAGATCAAAAATAACTAATACTACGGTATAATTCCCCCCTCCCCCCAAAAAAGAACTGACTTAATTTTGTTTGATTAGCATTTCAATGTTTCATATTTCATTACCAGATTATAATAAAATAGAATCATATTAAATATCAATTAAGTTTGTTTATTTATGCACTTATCAACATTAAAGTTATAATTATTTATATTTAAATTACTTATTCTAACAATTAAATTTTAAAGTACAAAATCAGTAAAATTAATGACTTTGAAATTTATTGTTCTAATATTTTACGCCATATTTTACAAAATCCAATAATCACAATTTCAAATTTTTATTGAAAAACTATTAAACAGATATCTATATTTTCTATCTTTTTGTAAAAGTCAAATTGCTTTTCAGTGAAATAAAAGGTAACTGCTTAATACATATAATAGGTCTGGTGCACTACAAAGTGCACTTATGAAGTGCACTAGTAGTGCACTACTAGTGCACTTTGTAGTGCACTAGTAGTGCACATCTAGTGCACTCCTAGTGCACTTTGTGTAACCTTTAGTGTGAACTCAACTGTATGCTAGAACATCAACTGCTTGTATGACTGTAAGCATTAAAGCTAAACTTTACCTGCATTTGTGTCTGTTGTTATCAGAACAATCCAAAGCGACAAACCTACCTGAAATTCAAAGCATTTAACAAGTTTGTAATATCTTTTTTACTATGATCAGGGACAATAACTCTATACATACATATGTGTAACATCTTTAATTAATCGTATGTAGAACTTGTTGTGTATACAACACTTTATATTATTTAAATTCACCTCCAATTCAATTAAGATACATGTATTAATTTTTGAACAAAACTGTAAGTGTCACTTCATGAATATTTTAGGATATGCTATGAATTAATGTAATAATTGAAATCAACGCCATACCAAGGTAGAAAATATCCACGTCATCATACTTTACAGATTGGCAATATTGAAGAAGACAAGAATGGTATCAACAGTATGTTTCGTCTAAAAGTACAGAAATAATATACATGTATATTGCAACACAAAAAAAGCAAAAAAAAATAATTAATGACTATTTTCTTATTACATATGTGTGTGTCTTCCTACTGTCCTGCGCAAAGGTCGAATGTTTCACTAACGAACACTGAGTTATTCTGTGAGTTGCGAAGGGAACGTAGTGTATTCCTTTGTAATATAATAGCCCAAAGTATAGCAAAATAAATGCCTGTCCACAAAGCAGGCATTACAGTACCGCAAATCAAATAACAAAATATTATGGTTTTGCGAAGTTTGATCGAAAGAACACAACATTAGGTAAAAAGAGAATGATGGGAAATACTCGGGAGGAAAGTGATTGGAAAATAGTTTGAATTTGGATATCCAATTACGTTTCAAGAAAGGGCATTCTTCCTGAAAAAAAATCGGTGGATGAATTAAGATCCTAAAAGTGGACGTAAAAGATATGAAACGATTACTCATATACAGAACAATGTTAGCATAGTTATATTCAAAAGAATTATATTTATATACTCATCATAAAATATAAAATGATAAGAAATAATCACGAAGTTATTATAACTTCCAGCAGGTGCACGTGTCCGATAATTATTCTTTTCATGAAGTTAAATTCTAGAATCGATAGTAAATTCATGTCTAAGACTTGATGAACGATTATTTTTAGTCTTTAATGTTTCAGATATTTCTCAGAGTTCGGTTCAAATAAAGTTTTGTCTTATTTATATAAAGTTTTAAGTTCGATCAACGCAATTTTTAATATAAAACAATTGTAGCGGATAGAGTATATTAAATATCCTGTATGTTTTGTGATCGATATTGTTACTGTGTGTATACCACACTTGCAAAAAATTATATATGTATATAATTATGCAAATAAAACAATTTTCAAACATCGAAGATGTTGATTATGTAAAATGTGTACTGCAACTATTTGTGAACATAAAATTTAATCAATCAATTACATGCATTCATTTGTTATTGAAAAATTTGATATAGACTTTATAGAAAGTAAATTTCTAATTACCTCCCCTTATTTACATGAAATGTTAAAATGGGTATAATATTTATAAATAATGCTTATTGGAACTTACAATATTGACAAATCTTAATTTGAGCATCATATTTATGAAATAAAACCATGAAAAAATTGGATCTTTAAAGGGCGCGTCAAAACTTGTTAATTCTTCTTTGCATGGACGCTTACCGGGAGAATCATGAAATATCAAAATAACATTCGATACATTTTCATTAATTGTCCGACGGAAAGAAAAGAATACATAGCGTTACATGATAAAACATTCTGATGGCATGAATAGCAGAACTATCTAAATTAAAGTTTACAAGGCTAATACTGCTCCGAAACACAAAAAGCAATCATGTTTGCTATCGTGGTCAACATAATATTTTGGAAAATTTTGTCAAATACGTCGTGTTATCACCGTTCACTATTTTTATAGAAATACAAGTGAGCATTGCACACGAATATTTAAATATTGAGATATTTTTATCATTTTTAAAAAAATCAAAGTCACAAAGTATTTTGTGTCCACCAAGTGGCATACCTTAGTAAATGATCTTTCATACCATACACATTTATGTAATAGCCTTAGATTATTAAAATACTAAAATTATTATCATTTTTTACCAAATCAAACGTTATTTGTCAACGAGTAAGACATTCTTGTTTCTAGTAACTATATATCTATTTTCCTGTATTCTTGGCACAAATGAGCTAGCTTTTAAAAATGACATTTTAAGTCTTTCTCTAAAGGAAACAGAGTAATTTATTTCACATGTTTTAGAACACGGAACATTGTGAAAGAAGATAAAATGAAAAGTATTGTATGTACCTTTCAATGATTTCAAAGTAAAACTAAAAATGAAAATAAAACAGTTTGTACTCACATGTTTCACTGACTGGTCAACACGGTTGCTTTCGCTGTCACTACCTTCCTTCTTGTCGATTTTATAATGTCTGTCTTGTACCATATTGCCACATTTCTAAAGCTAAACTTTATTATTCACGTAAATGATTTTAATCATGAATACTTTGTTCGTTTCTAAAGGTTTAAAGGAACGTGTACGGCGATAAACATCCATTTGTAGATAAAATATTCTGCCAATTGTTTTAATTCTAAGCCTTGTTAACATAAAGCGAACAAAACAACTACAAAACACAATCTATTTTATGTGGCATTTGGTGAGGATGAGATGAACAAATTTTCAATCTTGTACCAAGTAGTAAGAACTCATATATATGTTCATATATTATTATGATTATTGAAATTAAACTTGTACAACTGTAAATTCATCAAAAGAGACGATAAAATATATGTGCGAAACTGGTCACCTACCTTTGTATCCTTAGTCGGATTAAACATTGACTAAACGGTATATTATTTTACTAATGTGACACAATCCGGTAACTGCGGTCGGATCAGTCTGAAACGGTAAAAGCGCTGCATTGCAATGAATTATGTTTCAACTTCCGTAACCAGACAACATACTAAAATTCGTGATCAAAGTTACTCTATATATCGTCTTATCACCAGCACAATATGTGTGTGAACTTATTTACTGGTCCCAGCTAGCACTTAAAGAGTATGACTCGCAAAATACAAGGTCAAAACACACACTTACACACTGATCCTTTTTCTTATGCTCGCATTCAAATAATGTTTTTTCAAGTAACTTCAAAATTTTGTATCAAGTCAGATAATAAACATATATTGTGCGGGGTTTCTTTTCTGTCATATCGTGCCCGTTCATGAAAAACAACATTTTTATGGATGTGTCTATCATATATATAATTCTTTTAATTCTGAGTTCTTAGTTGTACAAAATTTAGTTATTGACGTCATATCTGACGTCATATGACGTGTAAGTATTCCTTTTTATGATATACATACATCGTATAATGCACTTGATCTCCCTATCTGTTTGATAGGGGAATAGTTTGAAGTGTTTTAGAATGTTATTTTAATCATTAGGGAAGTTAGATCTTTGTGTCTACAGTTGCAGGGCCTCTTGGTATTATATTGATGACAATTTCTGTTTGACGGCTGATGACGATATCTTGCTATAACGTCAACTGTTACCTTTGATTTATAATGAACAATTGTAAGCATTGCTATTTATCATATAGAATTATCATAAAAAAGTCTAGAACTATAGGTCTAATACAAAACGTTTTGTGTAAATTTCTGAAGACCAAGCAGATGCAGGTGGTGATTATTTAAATTACGATATGGTGCGGTCCGTGATTTTCCTCGACTGGATAATGCAACTCAACTGTCATGCGCCAGAAATTTTCCACTTTATAAACAAAAGTGCGTATTGTCAAATAAAACGGTAAGTACATTTGGTTCATGTGTAACCATGACCGTAGACAAAAACACAATTAAGAGTCACAACACTGTACCAAAGAATAGGCTGGAATTAAAAAAATATCCCGAAGTTTTAAGATAATTGAGGATAGGTAATGTGGAACTGGGGATATGACTTTCAGTCTAGAAAAGATTGTGTCTGGTTCATGAACAAATTTATTTTATCAAATCCTTTCCTGAATATACTTTTGTGCTGGGATAAACTGACTGTATAAACTTTTTCATGGGCAGCAATACTCGCATTATTATCCATTTCAAGTCTCTGAAAAATAACAATAATCGTTTTCTATAGAATTTAAAATCTTTTAACATGTCGTAAAAAATTTCTGATCAAATGGCGGTTAGCATAATACTTTCACTTCAGCTTTGATATCGGAAGGGCTCTTTTTTCAAAAATAAGATCGTCTCTTTGTATTGGTTTTTACAATTGTTCATAATAAGGATTTAAAACTGTACATACAATTTGAAGTGAAAAAAAAGAAATAAACAAGATATGTTATGTATGCCCCCGATGGGCAGCCAATTAGTCCTGTGATCATGTTATTATGCATGACTTCTGACCCAGTGAACAAAAAATTAATAAGGGTTATCTACTGGCCATGACTAGTTACAAGGTAATAATTATTGTGACCCCATAGGTTGTGTGCAGCAATTTAAGTTATTACAAATCTTACCAAATAAAATATGCATAAATTTTATGAAGCATGTAGGCCTCATTAATGACAGCCAAGTTGTTATATTACATAAGACCTTCAAATGTGTATACCAAAAGCATTTTTAGTTTAATATAAAAAAACCAACCAAGGCAACTTGACTTGTTGAGTTATTGGTCAAAAACCATCTTAAAATACAAGGTCAATTTTACACTGACCCTTGACCCCAAGTTCAATAGGGGTCATCTACTGGTCATGACAAATCATCATATAAAGTTTGAAGTTCCTAGACCTAATCGTTCTTTAGTTATTGATCGGAAACCGATTTTACTTACAAGGTCAATGTGACGTTGACCTTAGACCCCAACATCAAAAGGGGTCATCTACTGGTCATGACCAATCATCATACCAAGTTTGAAGTTCCTAGGCCTAAGCGTCCTTTAGGTATAGAGTGAAAACAATTTTTATCTTCATGTAAATGTGGCCTTGAACTTTGACCCCTTGACCCCAAAATCAATAGGTTTCATCAGCTGGTCATGGCCAATCATTATACCAAAATTGAAGTTCCTAGGCCTAAGAGTTCTTAAGTTATTGATCGGAAACCGTTTTTACATATAAGGTCGATGTGACCTTCACCTTTGACTCCAAAATCAATAGGGGTCATCTGCTGGTCATGACCAATCACCATACCAGGTTTAAAGTTCCTAGGTCTTAGCGTTCTTTAGTTATTAATCGGAAACCGTTTTTACCTACAAGGTCAATGTGACCTTGACCTTTGACCCTTGACCCCAAAATCAATAGGGGTCATCTACTGGTCATGACCAATCACCATACCAAGTTTGAAGTTCCTAGGCCTAAGCGCCCTTTAGTTATTGATCGGAAACCGTTTTTACCTACAAGGTCAATGTGACCTTGACCTTTGACCCCTTGACCCCAAAATCAATAGGGGTCATTTACTGTTCATGACCAATCACCATAACATGTTTGAAGTTCCTAGGCTTAAGCGCTCTTAAGTTATAGATCGGAAACCGTTTTCACCTACAAGGTCAATGTGACCTTGACCTTTGACCCCTTGACCCCAAAATCAATAGGGGTCATTTACTGTTCATGACCAATCACCATAACATGTTTGAAGTTCCTAGGCTTAAGCGCTCTTTAGTTATTGATCGGAAACCGTTTTTACCTATTTTACCTACAAGGTCAATGTGACTTTGACCTTTGACCCCTTGACGCCAAAATCAATAGGGGTCATCTACTGGTCATGACCAATCACCATACCAAGTTTGAAGTTCATAGGCTTAAGCGCTCTTTAGTTATAATTCGGAAACCGTTTTTACCTACAAGGTCAATGTGACTGCGACCCCTTGACCCTAAAATCAATAGGGGTCATCTACTGGTCATGACAAATCACCGTACCAAGTTTGAAGTTCCTAGGCCTAAGCGCTCTTTAATTATTGATCGAAAACCGTTTTTACCTACAAGATCAATGTGACCTTGACCTTTGCTCCCTTGACCCCAAAGTCAATATGGGTCATCTACTGGTCATGTCCAATCACCAAACCAAGTTTGAAGTTCCTAGGCCCAAGGGTTCTTTAGTTATCACTCGGAAACCATTTCGTCTACGGACCGACGGACCGACAAATGCAAAGCAATATACCCCCTCTTCTTTGAAGTTTGGGAATAATTAACACAATTGTCACTGCGAGTGTGCAACATTATTCACTTATGAGACTACCTTTTAATTAATAAATCCAATAATGATCGAGCAAAATACGATTGCAGTGGTTGTATATTTGTTGTTAAGCCTAATTCATTAGAGTTTGTATTGCTCTATACAGTGGTATCTGACAGTGAAACTATGTTAACATTTGCTATCATATATTTCATAGCACAAAGAATGCAGACAGGAAAACGTATAAAAGACTATCAATGAACGTTATTGTGATTATCTGATTTTACACAATGTGTTCATGAATTTATAAATCGATGCGCTACTATAACAAAAAAGTGCTAAATGAATATATTAGTTATCGTAACTTCTTTCCGTAAATTGATTTATATGTAATATGCAAAGAACTGAATAAAACACCAGCTGTCGTTACAGACAAGAATATTAAGTTCTCAGGAAAATGTTAAGCAGAAACACGACAGAGCCTCGTCACCGTCATATGGTGATTTTCCAGCATTACTGGTAGGGGAAGAGGTTTGGTGCCCATTTGACAATAAATTTCAGGTATGAGCGGTACTAAGATTTGCACATTGTATTTCCTCACATTATAGATCTGTATAACCTTGACGAGTATACTGCAATATCACTTAATTCAGACAAAATGAAAATTTGCATTACCAAGTTAATATCTATTTAATTGTTTAGGAAACATTTTATTCTTAAACTGATTGAACTTCATATAATTATAAGGATCAAACACCAGATGCTGGAACAGACCGGAATATCTTGCTCGAGAAAAACAGTTAATGCCAGTGACGAGGCTTTGCCGAGTTTCCGCTAATTCAAAACATTTTACCGAGAAAAGAATATTCTCGTCTCCAACAACAGCTGGTGTGTGATTCATTTTCTTGCACATTGCATATTAATCATTTTACGAAAGAAGTAACGATAAATATTATTTTCATTAAGCACCATTTTCTTATACATTGTAGTAACGTTTCAATTTACAAATTCATGAAAGCAAAAAAAAAATGCATAACATTGTGTAAAATCAGATAATATCAATAACGATCATGGATAGTTTTTCATACGTTTTCTTGTCTGTTGTCTTTATGCTATACAATATATGATAGCAAATGTTACCATAGTTTCACTGTAAGATACCACTGTATAAATAAACACAAACTCTAATGAATTAGGCTTAACAACAAATATCAAATCACTGCCATCGTATTTTTGCTCGTTCGTCAATGAGTTTAATTAAG